AGGGAGAGAAATCTGCAGAGGTCATATCCCAGTCTGCAGATGAAAGGCGTTCTGATTGGCTGCCTGCTCTGAGTGTGTGTGAGCTGTACATGCTGCAGCTGTGGGAACGGCAGATTGTACAGCTGTTTGTGAGAATAACAAAGTGAGCAGTATGAGAGGACATACAGTTATGTCTGCTGTCCCCTGAGCTCCTCATCCTCACTGGGTCTTTCCATCTTAGTAATAAGGTCCCTCAACATGTAAAACAATGATTTGTATCATCGTAGTTTAGATCATATTCATCTGTTGTGGTAACGTTGTGCTCACAGTACAAGATCAATCTAAAAGCAACTTTAAATACGCACATTTGGAGTCATGTACGTTCACCTGCGGAAAGTTCAATACTCTACTTTGTGCTCTGCTTTGTTCCTTGAGAGGAAATCTTAGGCTGTAGTCGATAAATTAAAAAAAAAGTATTTCCCTAATCTCTTCCAATCCCCTTCACTTCATTATGGGTTTAATTTAGGTGATTCAAAAGAAGCGATGGATAATCTGTAAGGTTTTAGGAAAAGACCAGCGACGTGCAGTCAGTGGAGGCAGGGGAGGCAGAGTCATACTCCAATGTAACGGAAAAACAATAAAAGAAAAACTAAATAATAATAATAATAAAATGTCTCCACTGATCTTGTGTAAATGTGATTTCTGTATGATTCCAATCGCATTTTATAGTCAAAATCAGCAAATTTGCCGAGCTCCGCTACGGGAGCGATGAGAAGTGAGGCAGGGACCAGCTCTGCCTCACGTAAGCCCACAGTAACTTGCTGGAGCGCGGGCACTAATTTAGCACGGCCACTTATTTTGTGAGCGCGCTCAAGCCATTTACTGTGTGGGGTAGGTGAGGCACAGATGAGCTCTGCCTCACTTCAGAATGCGTCACCCCACAGAAACTGTCTGGAAAGCGGGCCCTAAGCGCATGCCTGTTCCCATCTCACTGTAGGTCACCAATGTAATGTTTGTAGATCCCTTTATTACATTTATCCTCGCCATCCATAGTCTCTAAATAACTTATTTCACGTTTATATGATATTTAGGCTCGCTGGTCTCATCGTACAACGGCAATGAAAAAAGCACCAGGGGAGGCAGCCATAACCTCTGCCGCACTGAAGGGGGCGCACGTGAGCCCACAGGTTCTTGTTGCTACTGTTATTCTACCGCAAACAACAAACTAGACTTTTGAAACTACAGGAAGAAAAGGAGGACTTTTACAAAACAGTAATAGAGATTGTTGTCCAGAAGGATAGCATGGACTTATATTCATCTTCAAGTCAAGGTAAGACCACAACTGTAATGAAAATGGGATCTTACTTAGAAAGAACAATCCAATATTTAGATTTTGGGTATCCTTTTGTTGATCGGTCTGTTTAAAATTAATCATAGCATCAGACTAAAAAAGCTTTTGAAAATAACAGAATATTTCGATTAAGGTCAAAATAGGCTATAATATTTGTAAATCTGACTCTGAAAGAGTCAGTGCCTCACCAGCCATGAACCTCACCGCACGTCACTGGAAAAGACAGTCTGAAAAAAAATACAACAGCATTTACACTATGCTGCATATTTATACAATGGTGGATGTTATCAGTGTGTGTCATTTCAAATGTTTCCAATTCAAGCAATAGTTGGTAAAGGATGCTCCAGTGTACCCTATGCTAAAGAATAGTATCTCTTATCATGGCTGACACTTAGATACTTCAAAATCATTTCACTCAGAAAGGAACCTTCTTAAGTAAAAAGGCTTTTGGACGTGCTAAATGCTCCACTTTGTTCACCAGCTAGTCTTTAACTCTCTCTGATGTTTGCTGCTGGGCAGGTAGGGAACAGTGTGTTATCAGAACTTGTTTCCCAAACCAGCTGCAGCTGGAAACAAGGCTGATAAGAGCGCTGAGGGTGAAGCGAAAACAGTTAACAGTTGGCTGTAAAACCCAAACAATGAGCTGAGAGAAGCTACAACTCCTGGTAGAGCTTAGAGGAACTGAGTCTGGTGCTAAATCTCTATTGTCTCCTCACTATGAGCAACAGTGTTCACATTACATGTAGTAATGTTCCAAGGTTCCATTTTGTTCCAATGTTAATAAAAAATATATGAATTCCGCATCTGAATTGTTGTAAAAAATACTTAATTGCAAATGAATATTGTTCTTAAGACTACAGCGGTTATGTTGACAAGTTGAACAAGAAAGTCGGTGTGTAAACTGAATGTTTATAACCGGTAATAATTTCATTTCAACCTACATGTAACTAATCAGTGCACTATACAATTCATGTTCGTGATCAGAGAGTTGGTTAAAAACCAATTAGGTTAAGTTTAAACTTTTAATCTAATCAGTTACTTATCAGTATCTTAACTTTACATTTTCAGCCCATCAAATGACCTGTAAACAGAACCTTAATCAAGTCAACTAGTGTATTCTTTACCATTACAAGGTACATCATCAAAGCGGATCATCCCCCAAGTTCTCCTCTGTATTGCATTTCTTTTATCTGCGATTTGTAAATGAATCGAATAACAACACAACAATAATATTGTCCATTCTGTATAAGTGCACACATTCATCATGCCCTCAGCTTTTGCTGAAAACAGTCAATTACTGTCACATTAAATGAATGGACACAAGCCAATCAGTGGTTCACACCTACTCCAGTTTACACGGAGGTCAATTATCCCTCAAACTGCCACACTCTGATATATAATCTCCACCCGGACCCTGATGTAGAAACTGAGAGCATCTGATGCAAATTAAATTGATGTATCTCTGACTCCTACTCCACATTTAGCACCAACCACCTGCCAGCTAATTGCTCATTTTCCTTTTCATTCATTTCCCATGGCTCTTACACTAAGCAGCAATAATGCTCTGAAATTACAAGCTTATTAAAATCCTACAAGGTCGTCTCGTTCCAGGAAAATCTGTGACATCCAAGGTCGACAGTATCGCTAACAGCAGAAGTGGCACCCAGAGGAGGCATTAAGAGCAAACACAGGGGAGCCAGTGAGAGAACGGGTCTGGGTGGATGTTGAGTGTTGGGTTGAGGGTGATGGAGTAGGGGGGGGCTCTAGATAGAGTGCCTCTGTGCTGGCCTGATTATGCTCTCAACAGAATGAGCTCACATAACAAAGGATTTATTATCACTAGCTGGAGAGTTGCTGCGGTCTGGGAACTCTGCACAGCCGTTTTCTCTGCCAAGCGCCCGAAAAATGTGGCCCAGCTCTGCTTTGGTCGGGAGGTTCAAACAACAATGAACCCTGTATGGGTCTCTCTCTCACTCGGCCTATAAAGCAGCCAATGTTTCAGGGGGGTGGGAAGAGCCAGAGATTATTTGACTGACACTCATATGCCCATGCTTTGCAGTTTTCCCTTAAATCTCCAACGTCTTTCCTCCAGGTACAGCAACAGGTCGAGGGTTAAGTGATTATAAGGTGCTTATGGCTAAATTCAAAATTAGGATATGGATTGTTTAAAACGGGAATATGTAATGTTTTAAGACATAAGACAAGTTTAATAAAATCAAAGTTCCAAATCTCAATTTAATACAATTTGGCAGTGATTCCTAGATTTTAGTACTCATACTCCAATTGACCATAGTCCTTCATTTGAAACAAAAATATGTCATATTTAAAGTTATTTTTTACATTTAGGCTACACATAAAAAAATAAAAATTAGCTGTAATAATTAAAATATTTTCTGAAAATTATTTAGTTGGAAGTGAAAATGTGACAAAGTTTGAACTTAACAACATGGCACATTAGCATTAGCCAAACGCAAAGGGATTTTTGCTAGTTCCCTAAAGAAAGCCCATAGTCAGAAGAACCTTTCCGAGTTGAGCTGCTGAGCGGTGTTATTTCTAGCAAGAAAATCCACACAAGTTCCAGGCTGGAATTTATGGTTAGGTGGTTTATGGTCAGAGAATGTTTCAGAACCATTGCAGTAAATGGTGTAGCTGCTACTGTATATGCAATATGACAACTAGCTAACTGTGGCTAATGTTAGCAATCATTAGAGTTTTGCTAAAACTAATTTCTCCTGGTTGCAGGTGAACCGGTGTTGATTAAAAATGTATTTCTACTTATGGATGCCACCATCATTTAACATCAATGAGAATATCAGTTATTCTAAAGTAATACCATCAACATTAACAAACAAAGCAGACATGTTATTTTGCTCACATAGCTAGCATAACAAGCTAAAACTATGCTAACATCAAGTTGATATCACAAACATTGTATTGAAATTCAACGATCTACGTCATTACAGTAAGCAGAATCCACCTGACCAGCACAGCCTGCACTATTGTGTCTGCTACTGATAACAAAGGACATACTGAAGAAACATCCAGAAGATCCCACCCAGGACAAATACAATGCTAATCTTCTATGGATGATTTCTGATTAAGCAGCATGGTTATTTTTAAGGTTTGACACATTTGAATGGATACATTCTTGGTTTATCATAGTAAAAACACATACAGTATGCAGTATGGGTATGGAACATTTCATATACTGTACGTCCTCCAATCAAAACTACCAACCCTATTCTCATGACCTCATTTATTTAGTCAATGATAGTAGCACTCATAGTTATTACACTGTATCAAACCACTGGACAACGTAACCAAATGTCACTCTAACTAGGGCAAAAATACAATAGGATAAAAAAATGTACAGCACATTAGCCACCTCCATAACTTATCAAGCGTTAGTAACGTATTAATTGAGTAATTGTTATTCAAAAATGTATCACAGAAACTCATTTTGTTGCCTTTTAACCAAATGATGTGCCTATTCTGTAACATTTGGTTCTGTTTGACAATATGAGAAGCTTCTATATGATACATGCATTGGAAATAACATGTATTAACTCTATGATCAAACTGTCTGTCACACAAACACACACACAAGCTCAGAACATGGAACACTGTGAAAACTGCCTTTTATATTAAATGTGTCAAGTGTCTACTTTACCTGATGGAGTGGTGGGTGGGTGTGTTGGGTGGGGTGGTCCAGTAACACCACAGCACTAAACACACTGCTGCTGCTCATAAAGACGAGATGGGTGCATAAACTGCTGCAGAGAAAAATACAAAACTCTGACTAGGATCCAAAGAGGAAGCTCCTTTCTTTGTTGTGTCCCCCCCCTCCTCTCTCTCTGTTTTGTCGTAAGGGTCTCTCACTCACTGCCTCTTCTGAACACACACACACACACACACTGTCTCTCGCTGTCATAACACACACTGGGCTAAAGCCATGTGGCTGCTGACACACACTGTCTGCTGCTGCTAGTCCCCTCCCTCTCTCTCTTTCACTCCCTTTCTCTTTCTTGCCATTACACACACACACACACGCGCGCACACACACACAACACACACACAACACACACACACACACACCAACACACACACACACACACACACACACACACACACACACACACACACACACACAACACACACACACACACACACACACACACACACACACACACACACACACACACACACACACACACACACACACACACACACACACACACACACACACACACACACACACACACACACACACACACACACACACACACACACACACACACACCTTAACATATGCCTCTCTCTCCCTCTCTCTCTGAGGTGTTCCTGCCCGGTCAGCCTCGCCCCAACCCGCTGACACAAGGCGCTCATTCTTTTGGATAAAGAAATGCTGCGTTGTTCATAAATAGCTGCAGAAATGTTCACCTTAAACATGACTGGAAGGTAAACAAGGTTGTGAAAAAGAGTGGAAACAAGTGCATTTATTCTCTCACAGTGGAACTACTGTGAGTCATATTTTCCTACATGTTCAACTCACCAGCGTGAGGTCGATTCTACGCTGGTTTATTCTAATTTACGAGCTGAGGTATCGTAGCCAGGGATGTGTTAACAAATACTACAAGCTCTGGCAGCCTTTCCTGGACTATTTTAACAAACTCCCCTGTGCCAGTCTGACTGCATGAAGCCCCCCCCCCCCCCCGGCCTTCCCTTTTATTTACTGTTTATTTTTATTTTATTTATTTAAGTGCATCTCTGTGGGTGTGTATGAATATGTATATATATATTTGTATGTGCGTGTATATGTGCTTGCACATTATATGTACTGTAATGACATTTTGATTTTGATTTGTGGTACAAATGTAATTACACATCTGCATTTGCATGTGCCCTGTTCTGTTTTGATATAAGTGAAAATCAATAAAAAAAGATGAAATAATTATTCTAATTTACATTCTGTTCCAAGTTACATGCTACTCCAAGTACATGTATAATTTAAAGGTTCCATACTGTTTTTCATCAATATATTATAGGTCTCAGATATATACAAAACATTTCTCTGAAGTGTTTGGCTTGAAATACCAAACAGATCATTGTAACATCCCATAATCCCCTCTGTTTCAGCCCTGTTTCAAAAGTGCTGATTCTCTGTCTGTTACTTTAGACGAAAATAAGGAGCTACTCCCCACGCCCCTCTGAGAGATATTTGGTTAAAAAGAACACAATAGCCGCGTTCACACCAAGTACTTTGCCGTACTCAGTGCCGGCACTCAGTGCCCCGGCACTTATTACCCCAGGGCACTTAGTACAGATCGCGTTCACACCGGAATAAATTCCCTGAGGGAAGATTACGCAAATGAGCCGCTGACGTCACTTCTTCTTCTTCTGCTTTGGGTTTACTGGCAGGCCGCAAACAACTTCACGGCGTATACTGCCACCTGGAGTCCCCGGCCGGAAGTCCCCGGAGTTGGGGACTGGCTTCAGTAGAAGCTGCTGGGACTCCCAGCAGATTCTACTGAAGCCTTCCGAGTAAATCGCCAGAACGCCGACACCTCCTCATCTCCACCGCTCCCATGTTTTATTTTGTGTTGCCATAAGTTAGTCTCTCTGCGTTTGTGCACTGGGCGAATGCTAATGCTAATAATGCTAATGCGAGGATAATAAAATGGCGGCTCTACAAAACATTTCAGAGTTTTACAGGGCGTGGTTTGCAATTCGCCCAGCCAATCAGAACTGGGGCACTTTTTACCCCCAGGAAAGTACCATCTCTCAGCAGGCACAAAAAATGGGGGTAAAAGTTCCCGAGATTAAGTGCTCTTTTTGGTGTGAACGCGACATAAGGGGTACTAATGGAACTAAACGCGAAAAGTACGGGGAAAAGTACTCCGGTGTGAACGCGCCTATTGGTGCTCTAGGAGGAGATTCAGGTGATAAGGTGGGGGGGGTGTTACCTTGGTTGGTTATTGGCTAATGGTTACACAACCCAAAAATCGTTATGACATCGTAAAGTGGCCAAAATCTGATCAGCTCATTTTCAGACAGGTTTTTATATAAATGGATCAGGCCAAAAAGTAACTATCAACATTTGTACATGTGTAAAAGAACATGAAAATATGCAGGTACTCAAAAGACCTAATTTGTTGTTATATTGATGGTGGTGTAGAGCGCTGCACATCACTCAGGTGGGTTGACAATATTGACTATGCATGAATATGATTTACACAAGTGTTACGTGCTCCCCTCCTTGTTGTATTTTCTGTCTCCCTGCTGCGCAGGTGCACCTGGTCTGCCCCTGGCTCCGCCTCTGCCCAGGTGTTCCTAAATTCCACTCAGCCGGGTTATAAGGAGAGACTGGAGGAGAAGGATCGGTCACCTATCCTAATGCCGGAAGACTCTGTTCTTTGGATGATCTCTCTGCTGTTTTTGAGCTATGGATCCCATTAGCCGCTTTCACACCAAGTACTTTGCCGTACTTAGTGCCGGCACTTAGTACCCCAGGGCACTAAGTACAGATCACGTTCACACCGGAATAAGTTCCCTGAGGGAAGATTACGCAAATGAGCCGCTGACGTCACTTCGTCTTCTTCTGCTTTGGGTTTACTGGCAGGCCGCAAACAACTTCACGGCGTATAGTGCCGCCCGAAGTCCCCGGCTGGAAGTCCCCGGCCGGAAGTCCCCGGCCGGAAGTCCCCGGAGTTGGGGACTGGCTTCAGTAGAAGCTGCTGGGACTCCCAGCAGCTTCTACTGAAGCCTTCCGAGTAAATCGCCAGAACGCCGACACCTCCTCATCACTCCACCACTCCCATGTTTTTGTTTGTGTTGCCATAAGTTATTCTCTCTCCGTTGGTGCGCGGGGCTAATGCTAATAATGCTAATGCCACAAATACAATGGCGGCTTCACAAAACTTTTCAGAGTTTTACGGGGCGTGGTTTGCAATTCGCCCAGCCAATAGAAATTGGTACTTTGTTGGTACTTTTGTGGTACCACCTCTCTAGCAGGCACTAAAAATGGGGGTAAAAGTTCCCGGCAAGTACTCTTTTTGGTGTGAACGCAACATAAGGGGTACTAACGGAACTAAACGGGAAAAGTACGGGGAAAAGTACTCCGGTGTGAACGCGCCTATTGCTGCTGGTGTTTTGATGTGTAGCCTGGAGGACCTGGTAGTCTAGTTTTCGTGGCTTTATTTTGTTTCCCATAGGGTTTTGGTTGGATTTCTGGTTAGGGGAGGGAAGCTCTGGGTCCTACGGCCCGTGGTGTGGTTGGCTCGGGCCCCCCTCCTTCTTTTTGTTTCTTTTAGCCAGTCCTCCAGACCTCGTTCGTTTGCCGGATGGCTTATGTGAGTAACGGCTGTACATCAAATAAATTATCGCTATTAAGTACTGTTTTTTTTGTGTGTTTTCTTTTATGTTGCGGGTCTCCCCACGAGCCACTACCACAGATTAGGGGGCGGGTCGTAACATATGGGGGCTCGTTCAAAGGCTGTCTCGGGCAGGTGCCAGTTTAGTGAGTAGTGCTACTTGTGTAGTATAGCCCTTGACAGCGTGTGTGTTTTCTTGTGTGTGCAGTGTAGAGTTGCTTGAGTGGTAGCCTAACTGGTATCAGTGTTGGTTTTTTTGGGGTGAGTTTATCTTGGATAAATTATGCTATGGATTTTGACTTAGAGGAGTTTGTTAGTGATCCGACTCGGGGGAGGTTGGACGCGTGTAATAAACCGCAACTGGAGCAAATCGCTGGCAGGTTTGACGTTGCGATTAGTAAACACAGCAAGAAGCAGGTCATTAAGGAACAGCTGTTGGCTGCGCTAATAGATCAGGAAGTGTTGTCGGAAGAAGTGGGCGTTGATTATTTTTCCAAAGACGAGGAGACAGAGGTCTCTCCGAAAATGGCCGAGCTTCAGCTTCAGCTAGAGATGCGCAGGCTGGCAATTAAGGAGAAAGAGATTGACGGTAACCTTGAAATTAGGAAGTTAGAGGAGGAGACCAAGCGTATTGTACGTTTAAAGGAGCTGGAACTGACCTTGTCGCACCAGGCTCAGCAGTTGCCTGCACAATCACATGAGTTTGATGTGGGTAAATATGCTCGATTTATCCCAGTGTTTCATGAGAGAGACATTGATAATTATTTTATTATTTTCGAACGGGTTGCGACAACCTTGAAATGGCCTAGGAACATGTGGACCGTTATGCTGCAGTGCGTTCTCACAGGAAAAGCACAGGAGGTGTATGCTGCATTGTCTGACGAGGTTAGCCTGGATTATGAGCAGCCTATGAGCTGGTGCCAGAGGCATATCGTCAGAGGTTTCGTAGTTTTAAAAATAATGATTCTCAAGCTTATGTGGAATTCGCCCGTGAGAAAGAGGGACTGTTTGATCGATGGTGCTCGTCGACGGGGGTAAAGTCTCTAGAGGACCTGAGAACGTTGATGCTCATGGAAGAATTTAAAAACTGTTTGCCTGACAGAGTAGCCACATATATTAATGAGCAAAAACCCATAAAACTGTCAGATGCTGCGGTTTTGGCTGACGAGTATGTTCTCACTCACAAGTCTGTCTTCGGTGAGAGGGGTAGCGCGCAGGCCCGGTTTGGTGACAACAGGGTCAGGGAAAGCTCAGGCTCCGCTAACGTGCCATTGCAGGCCAGCAGGTCAGGAAATGTTGAGGAAAAGCCGGGGGAGGTGATGAATTGGGGACCTAGGGATAGCCCAGTGTGTTACTTCTGCAAGAAGAGAGGTCATATTGTTGCGAATTGTTATGCTTTGCGG